GGACACAGCGCTGGGTGAACGAATATTTTATGTTAAATGTGGGGAGGTTCAGACGAATAATGAAATGTGAGGGGGATACGTCCCCCTCATATTTAATGGCGGCGACGCCCATGACCACACCAACTACTATGAAGCCAGAGACCACAGGTAAAGAAAAAATAATCATCTGCTGTCCACAAATACACTGTTTTGACAAATTAATACTAAAGAAAATGCACATAGTACACGCATTTCAATCCTTATAAATCTCTTCACTCTCTTCAGAGGTTACCTACCACAATTGATCAAACTGAAACTTAGCTGAGAAGACAATTTCACATTACAGCCACAAGGTGGCATGTCAACCAATCATTACACTCCTCCCCCTTTAGCTTTGGAGCAACCTTGTTCAAACTGGTGTTGACAACCTGAAATTTAACTACTACACCAGACTGAAATTCTTGAACAGGAAGCATCTTAATCTCTAGTGCAACTAATATGCCTCTTAAAAGTACGACTTACGCAGCACACTTTTACTATACTGCGTTTTAAAGATTTAGTCTTTGTGGTTTCACTCTAACCCTTTGTGGGTACCTGCATTTCACAGGTGAGCATATGGTTGGTGTAGGTGTAACAGGTGCTGGTGGCACCTCTACAGTCTGTTCAGCTTCTTCCTTTGGATTAGCAGGTGATGTCAGGTTCACTGGTATACTGGGTGGAAGAGTCTGAACAGCCCTGCCCTCTGGTGCTGATGCTTTGGTTTCTGCAGTTGGTTGGAACACCCTAATGGAGGTCTAGCCCCAAATTCTCGCGATAGTAACATGTGGTAGATGTGTGTAGTACGCTGTCTCTGGCCATCCTGTAATAGATTAGTGACCGTTCCCAATCCTTTCTGAGCTGCTGCCTGAAGCCATCTCTCCACCCCTCCCCTGAAATTCCAGACATGGATGGGCTCTCCTTCCAGAAAAACATGAACATCCGAGCCCCCCCACGATCATGATGGCGCTTCTGTGCGGCTTGCTTCTCCCCAACCCACTTGGCAAACTCAGCTTTCAGAAACAGATTGTGATGTGCCATTCCAGAAACAACTCCACCAGCGTCTGACCAGTCACGGTGTGACCTGTACTGCGATAATTAGGAGCAGGAGAAGGAAATTAGCAAGTCTATGGCTGAGTGACAAGGGGGCCTTACCACCTTCTTCCAGCACATCTTTCATCAAAGCTTGTTTCAGGACATTCACTGATATCTCTGCCGTCCTATTTAATGCAGGGTGGTATGCAGGCATAGCAGTGTGTTTGATTCCTTTTCCATGGAGGAACTGTGTAAACTCGTCAGGCAGGGCCGTAGCAGGCGCCTCGGGCGCAGCCGGAGACGAGGCCGGTGCTGGAGCCCCGGGTGTAGCTGCAGGCGAAGGCGGGGCTGCAAACGGTGCCAGTACCGGTACCTCGGGTGTAGCAGCAGCCGGAGGCGGCGCCTGTACCTCGGGTGTAGCAGCGGGCGGAAGCAGCGCTGGTACAGGGGCCGGAGCGTCAATCGGCGAGACAGACAGGATGACCAACTCGTGCCAACTCGTGGCCAGCAGGGGGTGCCGCAGCAGCATCCAGAGACTCGCGGCCAGTAGGGGGCGCCGCAGCAGGCACCGCCGACTCGTGGCCAGCAGGGGGCGCCGCAGCAGCCGGAGCCTCACTGGGCGGTACGGTGGCCGCCGGAACAAGCAGGACGGGTAGGACAGGTGGCACCGGCGAGTCAGGTGGGACGGGCAGGTCAGGCAAGACAAACGGGTCAGACGTGGCCCATTTTTTAGTTCTGGGCACGCGAGTATTCTCGTCCCTCACCATGCTAACCCCTTTATAGGCTAGGCGTGCCTCTTGGAAATGATACGCCGCCCGGGCGGTGGCATCTCGTCGACGGGGCTGGCGAGGGGTAACAGCAGACCGGACACGGTGGTGACATCCGGGGTGACGGCAGCAGCCTCTGCGGGACATACCTCTGGGCACCGGGTCAAGAGGTACTCCTTTGGAGCAGCGGTGGAGAGAGAGCAAGCGCTCAAGAAGATCGCCGGTTCCTCTTCCTGTCTCTGCTCTCTTCTCTTTTTCTTCCTCCGGCTTTGGCGGAGGAAGTAATTATTTCTCCTGATTCCTATATCCTGTATAAATGTGTCTGGGGTCCGGGCTGGACTGGCCACCGGCCTCATTCCTGGCACTTTCCTGGTTGGTATGGGGGCCGGCAAAATGTAAAACCATGTAACCCAGCAGGGATCAGTGCAAAAGGCCTATGTTGTGTGATCTTGTGACCCATTACCCATAAAGGGAACCTAATTTTAGCAAAGGACACTGACATTGGGAAAGTGGAAGGTGTCCCTTCTNTTCCTCTTCCTGTCTCTGCTCTCTTCTCTTTTTCTTCCTCCGGCTTTGGCGGAGGAAGTAATTCTTTCTCTTGATTCCTATATCCTGTATAAATGTGTCTGGGGTCCGGGCTGGACTGGCCATCCGGCATCATTCCTGGCACGTTCCTGGTGGGCAGATGCTTATAGGGGCCGGCAGAAGTCAATAGAGAGCTCCTGGTGGCCGGCTCACCCGACATCTAAAATCTTTTTATTTTGGCCTCCTGTGTCAAAATGTAAGACTGTGGTGCTCTCTCAGAAAAGAGTGTGTTTTATGTGAGGGTGAGAATGTGCCTTTAGTGAAGGAGTTTAACCTCTGGATGTTGCCCGTGAGAGATGGTGAGAGGGAACCTGAGACTGACGCTGGGATTGGTGGCTGCAGTTCATGTGAAAAAGCAAAGCATTCAAAGATGTATATTTTAGTTTTAGTTTTAGTGTTTTACTTCATTGCTGATTGTACTTGAGCTTCTTGTTTGTTTGGAAAAAATAGTAATAAACAATGACGAGCAACAGATGTACAAGTCTTGTTTTTTATTTTTATTGCAAATATTTTTAATATAAACCTTTATTTACAGATGATAAACTGAATCTTCCTACTGCTACAAGAAGTCCAACAAAAAGTAAGTTTCAGTCATTATGTAGCATCTTTCTAACCCAAAATCCTTTAATAAATAGGGAAAATGATAGTAAATACTTAATGCCATTCTATTTGTTGAGAATGTGCCTTTAGTGAAGGATGTTGTCCATGTGTGAGAGGGAATCTGAGATGGACATGTTGGTTTGTCAGCTGCAGTTATATGTGAAAAATTAAAGCATTCAAAGATGTATATTTTTATTTTAGTTTTAGTGTTTTACTTCATCACTGACTGTACTTGAGCTTCTTGTTTGTTTAAAAAAAAATAGTTATAAACAATGAAGTGTGACAGATGTGAAAGTCTTGGTTTTATTTTTATTGCAAATATTTTTAATATAAAACTTTATTTACAGACTATATACTGAACCTTACTACTGCTATGAGAAGGCCAACAAAAGGTAAGTTTCAGTCATTATACAGCATCTTTCTAACCCAAAATCCTTTCATACATATGGAAAATGAGAGTAAATACTTAATACCATAATTTTTGTTTAGTCCAGGGGTGGGGAACCTGTTCCATGGAGGGCCGGTGTGGGAGCAGATTTTTGAGATGACCTCTCAATGAGCCAATAATTAAGCAGTGGTTCTCAACTTCAGTCCAGGGGACCCACTGTTATTGGCTGATTGAGAGGTCATCCCAAAAACCTGCACCCACACCGGTCCTCCATGGAACAGGTTCCCCACCCTTGGTTTAGTCAATATCTAAAGCAAGCAAATATTTTTCTATATTAGCTTCAAACCAACCAAAAACAACCAGGAACAGAAAGGTACTCACCTATAGAACAACAATCACACCAACTACTATGAAGCCAGAAACCACAGGTAAAGAAAAAATAATCTGTTATCCACAAATACATTGTTTTGACAAATTTATCCCAAATGAATACTAAAGAAAATGCACATGATACATTTATGTTAAGTATAAATGAAACTTAGCTGAGAAATCAAGGGCAGTTCATAACACGTTAGCATTAGTCATTAAGTCTATAATTAATGTTTCTGTACATTTATTCCAAATAATTACTTACTACAGGAAATACAAGTAAGACATGTCATCGAATCATCCAATCATGGTTCATCAAAGTCTGAAAGTGCAGATAGACTTCCTTTGATATATTTCATATCTTTATACAGTCATTTTTAGATGTTTGCTAGAATTGAAAACACGACACACGAGGAGGATTCGAAGAAAATGGGTTTGGGAAGGGATCAAAACAATGGAGGCAGGCAAGGTGGGTGGCCACCTCTAAGGGCACAGGGGAGCCACCCTTGGCATTTGCTAAACCTTTTTTGCAGAAAGGGCAGCAATTCAACAAAAGTTCCTGAATTTGAAGTTCCTCCACTAGAGGTCACTGTGGGCAAGAGCCTTCATGCGGCAAATCCCTGGATGCTTGTGATGAAGGTGCTCCAGTAACCTCCATCAATAAGATAAGGGTATAATAACTTGCTGGCTCCAGAAAATTCAGCCTTGTTCTGCTGACAATCCCTGCCTGCGTATGAAGTACGGCCTCAGGGCTTCATCCTGCACATAGTCCGGCCAACCACTCATTGTGTAATTCCACACTGAATGGCTCCCTCAATGTCCGGTGCACAAACTGGTTGCTCCTACACATGTGAGGAATAGAAGATACTTCCCTCTTCTGCTACGTTGCCCAATGAGGCTTGGGGTAGCATGACAGTGCATCTGCATTTGCAGGATCAGCTGATTTCCTGTATTCTATTTCATCACTATATGCCACTGGGATGAGAGGCCATTATGGATTAATGATCCATAATGCTGACATTTCTAATTATTTTATTATATGTAGTGACAATAAATTTCCTTGCATGATCAGGTAACAAACATAAAATGGCTCCTTAAATTACTGGTATCGTAAGTATTAATTTTAATACGAATGTAATGGACTGAGGTTCCTTGTAGGATTTATATACCATTAGCTACTGAAAACTAATGCATATGTTTTTCCTTTATAAATATATGTAGGTCAGTGCATAATCCCAGTACAGTTACGAATAGGAATCGCAGGTGCTGTGCTGTCGCTGGGGGCTCCGACTTTCATCCTGTTCTGGAAATACAGTAAGGAGTCAGATCTACAGCTATAATTAATTTGGTGTCACATAAAGGTTTGGCTCATGCATTGTCTCTGTAGGGACACTGCTGTATGGAAACTGTTGTAGGAACTCTGCTGAATGGACACTGCTGTAGGGACTCTGCTGAATGGACACTGCTGAATGGACACTGCTGTAGGGACTCTGCTGTATGGACACTGCTGTAGGGACTCTACTGAATGGACACTGCTGTAGGGACTCTGCTGAATGGACACTGCTGTAGGGACTCTGCTGAATGGACTCTGCTGAATGGACACTGCTGTAGGGACTCTGCTGTATGGACACTGCTGTAGGGACTCTGCTATATGGACACTGCTGTATGGACACCATCCTTAAGGTCTTTGTCAGCAACACCTTATATTTCTATTATCTTTACCATTAACGCTGCTACTATTCGTAAAATAATAATAATAGTCCTATTATTGCTATGGATTGGCACCCTGTTCAGCCTGCTTAATATTTCCAGTCTCTGTGTGTTTTTCTAAGGGAATGCAGCTTCCCAGCAGAGAAGGACTCAGCCCAAGCAGCTCCACGCTCTGAGTACCGAGAGCGGCTTTGAGCTCACAGCCCGGGTGGTGGAAGGTGACGACTGAAGCCAGTGTCACAGACGCGCCGGATTTGTGCTGCTTTCCTCATTCTTCATGCATTTCCTTCATCAGCAGCTAATATACTGCTTAATGTGTATAAATAAAAATGAACATAAATATAAAAATGCCCTATAAAACTCCTACTGAAACTGCTGCAAGCCATCATATAGGAAGTATATATAATTTGTATTACTTTGTATTATCATGTTGTCCTGTTTTAGTTATTGTGCAAAAGTTGACGTGGCTCTGAACCAGTATGTAGCGCTGGGAGGGTGCATGTCCCAGCATGTCCCAGCATGCCCTGCATCCAATTGCAAATGGCCCTTGTTGTACTGTTGTTGTTGTTAATGGTTGCTTTTCCCTATTGTCACACGTGTTTGCCCGTGTCTTGTGTGTACCCTGTATGACCCTCGCGTGTTCTTAGCCTGTATAACTCTCCCACTGTGTTTGCACCTTACAGTTCGGCGTCTGACACCCTTGTGTTTCCGCTCTGTGTATTTGGTTCGGTGCCCATTGGGTGCCTGTTATAATCCTGTTAAGGGCTGCTATTAAAGAGCAAGTCTCCTTGTCCTTCTCTGCTCTCACAATGCCTTGGTCCGCTTTGGACAAGTATACGGCAATAAAGCTTGAAACTTGAAACTTGCTTTTGTATTTCACGTTTTCACCCTGGTTGTCATAGAGTTTTCTATGGCTTGTCCAGTCTCTCCCCCCCCACCCATTTACACTTGTTATAACTCAGCTCTGAAGCTGTGACAAATAACTGGGATACCAAATAAGTGTGGCAGAAACTGGAAAAAAAGTATTTAAATCTAAAAAGAACAGAACACAAACTGTAAAACAAAATTATTAAACACAACAAATAAGGAGAGTGAGAAGGCTCATCCGTCCAGCACCAAACCTTTCTTACCTCCAGCAGGTATAGAGCTTAACTAGGCTCCACCACTTGACCCAACACCTCAGCAAAATGCCCCAGGGGTCATGGTCCAGCAGAGACCAAAGGGGATCCTAGAAGTTCACTGGTGCAGGTTAGAGGGGAAGATCAAGAAGATTCTGTCCCACAGTGATGCCCCCAAGCCCAGCACACCTTGCAGTTCTGCAATGACTTCTGTTGGCTGGATGCCCCCAATAAATTTATCAGTGGAGTGTTTAGCTAAGGCCTGCTATATATCCACCCTAGACATCACTAACAGCTGCTGGATGGTGCCCCTCAGCCAGGCTGCCAAGGAGAAGATGGCCTTCAGCACACCCCGTGACCACTGGCAGTACCAACTCCAGCCCTTTGGGGTTAACAGAGCGCGCGCCGCCATTTAAGGGCTGATGGACATCATCTAGTAAGCTCACTGGGCATATATAGTCCCCAGTTTATACATTTCCTGCTTACAGACAACTTGTATTTATGAACGGACAACCATAAAGCCTGTTGTGTTACAAATTTGAGTAGAATTTCAGAATACAATGGTTCATAGTAACAAATGTATGGAGGACATTTGTATGTAATGCTCATGAAAACATTGCGAGTTAGCCAAAGTTAGCCAGCTAGAGATATAGTACAGTATACTGTTGTCAAGTCCAGCCCCGCCCTGCTTGTCTGTTCTGAGCATTTCCCTCAGATGAGGCTTCTAATCAGCAGCGCCTGAAGCTTGTTAGTCTTACCTCTTGTTCCTCACTCCGTTGTGTTCCGAACCTGGAGGCGAAGAGCCGACAACCTCTCAGACCGCACCCGCCTAGCAACTCGGCCACTATCAGCCGGACACCCGCATACTCGGCTGGGCGACACCGCCTCCCTGTGTGCCGGCTAGCGTTCGCTGTAAGCCTGAGTCGCGCTCTCCCTCTCCTCTTCGTCCGCTCACCCCCCTACATTACCAAGACGGCAAAACGTTTAGTCCGTTGGTCCAATTTCACGCTTGTCCCTCTCCCAGCGAGCACACCAAACAAATCCCGGCAGCCACTTTAAAAAGCCTCTAGCCCCCCAAAAGAGTTCTCTGTCTCTGCGACGGTCCTTTAAGAACGTCTTTGCTGTCCTTTCACATTTCCAGAGTTTTCAGATCATGCATAATCATCTAGTATGGAAGCAAAGGCGCATGATGAAGCATCTCCTCTCCAAGACATGTAAGGTCATCTAACTGATGCAGCCTCTCACTGGTTGACTCCCTCTACACCAGCCTACATCACAAGGACGGCTAAAATCATCTCAAGGCCGACAAAAGATATCGGCCTCCAACCTCCAAAACCTCAAGCATTAAGAAGAGTGTTTTTTCCTTCTTTGGCCACAGTTTTTATCCCAGTATTTTTTACATTTCCGCCCATGAGCACTATTGCAAAAATAAACACTCAGCATTGCAATTTTAACATTGGTGACCTCATTGGTGACCTCGATTATGTTTGTTTTATTTATATACTTGCATCAGGTCCACCTTTAGCCACCATTCCACAACACTCAAAGACTCTTTGGCAGCCTTAGACAGCCCATCTCTGCTGGACATCCACCTTAAAAGTGAGAAGGACAGAACTGAGCACCAGTATGCACTATATGAATAAGCAACCTGTTGAGTGACATTTAATCTACATCAGAATAACCTTTGCATTTTGCAAAATG